TCAATCTGGGCACCGTGACTTGGAGTGGCAAGACTTGAGACAAGCCAAGGCTTGTGGTGGCAAGACTCTAGTGAGAGTGACAGCTTGGTGGTGGAGAAACTAGCAGCGCTGTGGAGAAACTGTGGCAAGGTGGAACCTGAGGCTTCTTGCATTTGTGCTGGCTACAGTTAAAAGATTTTTGCTGTTCCTGCCTTGGATGATAGACAGAAAACCTGCTTGCTGAATTGAAACTCGAGCCTGGACTAACTAAAGACTGTGCCTTGGAATTGTTTGGCTAAAACTTGGACTTCGTTTGGGTTATCTTCTTTGCCTCCCTCACTCTCCATCTTCTTTCCCTAATAAACCCCACTGTTGGTACCTTAACTGTGAGTTAGCAATGAATACCTCTTGCTGTTGGTGAGGCTTTATGGGAACCATGGGGCTGGGCTATGGACTCATCTGCTTTCTGCTCTGGCTTGATGAAGAGCTGTGCTATTCTCATTCCTTCTGGACCTTCAGAGAGATTCTTAAGACTGTGTGCCTCCATGTCCTGCTTTCTCCTACTTAAGATACTAAGGTTTTTCTCAACTAAGCATGGGAGTCATACTACTCTCAAGTGGGAGTGTATGGTACACAAACACAAGCATACCCCTTTCAATTAGTGTTTAATATATCTTACATGAGAGAAAATAGTGCTAGTAATGTAATGTATTAACATCAGCAGCTGAAACTGCATAGCTGCTTTGCAGAGCAAAACTGGACAGTTTCTACTCACAGAGCCTCAAAAACACAATGGAGGGTAGTTGGGATTAACATGATAGTAGTAGGTGGGAGGTGGTAATATGAGATGAGTATTAAGGATCACAAAATTGCTCATGAAATCCCTCCAATATAAATGAAAGAATCCAAACCAGACAAAAGGAAAAAAAATCTTGGAAGCCCAAAACCAGACCCGTCTACTGCTTTTCAGTCAATTCTGACTCACAGAAACCCTACAGAACAGAGTAGTACTGACTCTAGAATTTCTAAGACTAAATCTTCAGAGAAGCAATGTGCCACATTTTTCACAGAAAGGCAGGCAGGTACCAATCTTTTTGGTCAGGAGCTGAGATCTTTCCCATTGTGCCAACTGGGCTCTTTACTTGGGCTGTTGTTAGGACTCATTGAATAGGACTCATAGCATCCTGAATGAACAGAAGATCTGAACCCTGTTTCATGCTGCACCATCTTCACACTTACCAACACACAAGAGCCCATTGCAACAGTCACCATGTCAATCCACTTAGTTGAGGGTCTTCCTCTCTTTTGTCAACCCTCCACCCTTCCCAGCATTATGTCCTCCTTTACTTGGGGTAGGAACAGATATAAATCAGGAAAATGAAAACAAAATTTGGTAGCTTCAAAGATGATGTAAAATATGTCTCTAAAATAGGAAGACAGTCACAAATAATTACAAATGTAGGAAATTAAAGAACAAAACCAACATTTAAAAGTCATTTGAATTGCAAAAGAAAATCTTTTAAGTAAAGCAAAAAGAAAGAGAGAGAGAAATGATGAGAAAATTATAGAGCCACTTAAGGAAGTCTAAATCAATGAAATACAAATACCTAGTTTAATGGGTAAAAATAAACTCATATTAAGACACATCACCATTCAATCTTTAAAATGCCAGGAGAGGCTGAGAGAAGGAAGAGGAGAATATGTGGCAAGAAGAAGGGTAAAAAGATGATCATAACGATAAGAGAGCAAGTGTGCGCAAGAGAGAGGGGAAACCATCACCAGATTTTATACAAAAGATGAAAAATCAGAATACTTAGTAATAATAATACTTATTATTACTACTATTAGGTGTCACCAAGTCAGCTCTGACACATAGCAATCTTATGTGCAACAGAATGAAACTCTAATTCTGTGCTGCCCTCCCAATACCTGCTGTGCTTAAGCCTACTGCTGCAACAGTCACAGTGCCAATCCGTCTCACTGAAGGTCTTCTTTTTGCTGACCCTCCGCTTTTCCAAGCATGATGTGTCCTTCTCCAGGAACTGACTCCTCCTGTTAATATGCCCAAAATATGTGAGATGAAGCCTCATCATCCTTATTCCTAAGAAGTACTCTGGTTGTATTTCTTCCAAGATTGGTTTGTTCATTCTTTTCGTGGTCTAAACTACTTCATCAACACCACCATCAAAGGCGTCAATTCTTCTTTAATCTTCCTTATTCATGATACAATTTTCACAAAGGTATGAAGCAACTGGAAATATGATGGCTTGTAATCAAAAGATCATCAGTTCATATCCAATAGCCACTTCAAGGTAGAAAGATAAGCAGTCGCCTCCTTGGAAACCCAATGGAGGGTGGAAATCCAACCGAAGGTTGCTATACATTAGAATGGACTTGACAATACTGGCTGGATTAGGCATACCTTTGGCACACTAAAGAGGTCTTTCAGCAGATTCGTCCAATGCAATAAGTTACCAGATTTCTTGACTGCTGCCTCCAAAGGTGTGGATTGTGCATTGGAATAAAATTAAATAACTTGACAACTCTAGCAAAGTTCTCTACACACAGCCAAAATCTTAATTAAGAAGAAAAAAAGCAATTTGAGGTAGTTGAAATCTCAAAAGAAAAAATAAATCTCTTACAGCTGCTTTCAGGAAGCTATCCAATAATGGGTTCCATTAAAACAAGAAAGTAAACTAAGAATAAGAAAGATCGTGAGAAATGCAGGCACAGTACCAAAAAAAAAAAAAAAAAAAAAAAGATGATGACAGGTATCTCCAGGAAATGAAGGAAAATTCCAAGACAACTAATTGTACAAAAGCTCTAGAATTGTTAATAGAGGTGCCAGAGGAAATATTTTCGAGAAAATGAAGTGAACCTGTGTCTGAACATGTTAAGAGGATAAACTTGCACACAGGAAGCAAAGAGAAACAAGGCAGTAACCAATTCTGAGAAAAACAGAAGGCAACTGTAACCATAGCATACTTTATTGCTCAGCTGTGGATAGCATTTACATAGATATAACTATAAAAAATGATTAGACCAATAGAACATGTTTTCTTTCATAATGACAATTATGCACTTAGATAGAAGAAGGGAAATATGTGGTATGGATATTGTGCCAATTATGATGAAAGAAAAACTATCATCTTTTATTCTAGCAAGTCTATATCCTTACCAAAATTCAAGATTTGTCTAAATTTTCCTAATATTTGAAATTGAAAATTCAAGAACTGGCTAAAGATATACAAGTAAATAAGTCAAATTAAAAAAGTTCAACATAGTTGTGTCTTTTTATTACTAGGTCCTACCAATTAATTTTCAACTCATAGCAACTCTATGTACAACAGACTGATATACTGCCTGATCCTGCATACTCATAATTATTGCTATACTTTATTCCATTATTGCAGTCACTCTGTCATTTCACCTTCAAGGTCTTCTTATTTGCTGACTTATGAATCTGTATGTTTTCTCTTGATAATTCAAAATATTTGCGATAGCGTCTCACCATCTAAGTAACTTCTAACTATACTTTCTAGTTGTATGTCTTCCAAGACATCTGTTTGTTCTTCTATCAGTACATGGCATTTCCTTCACTCAACAACATAAAAATGAAAGGTATCAATAAATCTTTGGTCTTCCTTATCCGTACTCTAGCTTTCAGATGCCTATGAGCTGACTGAAAATATGGCATAAGTTGGGTGTACCTCAGTTTTCAAAGTATTATCTTCCCTTTTTAACACTTTTAAGTCATTTTTTGTTGTAGACTTATGGAAACTCACTTCAGATGAACACGTAAGTCATTATAGCATGACAAAGTGGAAGAAAAGTGGGGACTCTGTGTCTAGGTGCAAAAAATTTGGTGGGAGGAAGTATAAGGGACTGAAATGTTTGGAAAGAACCCATGGAAAACAGTTTATCTCTTTAAATTACATGGATGTCTAAATCTGATTGAAATATTTTCCAGGCTATCATGGTCTTCTGTCTTTTGATTCTGACATCTAACACATGCTATTTCACTCAGATTTGTGAAACTTTCAGTATAGTGTTATATGATTAATAAGCTTATTTAAATCATCAACTAAAAATGTTGACTAAAGAGAACAGATTTTTCATGATAATATCAATCCAATTCATCAATATTTCTCAATCCTTTTAACCAACTGGAAATTCACTTGATTATAACTTAAATTTTTATTTTTCCATATTGTACATAAAACATTAGGAAAAATATTTTGAAATTTCTATTAAATGAAAATACAGGTATAAATTTCCAAACTGCAGAACGTAAAGATCAATAAGGCTAAAATGTGGGCAAACTACTGACTGAATCACATAAAGTAATCCAATGTAAAAAATAACAACATTAGTTAGAAATAAATTTAATAATGTACTATGATTGCTTAATTTTCCTTCATCATCAATCAGAAAAATACAATTGTAAATTTTCATGTTTAATGAGAAAAACCAAACTGAAAATCTTTTATTCTTACAATCATCTTATTTGAATGTATAAAAACAACCAGCTTAAAATGAATGCATAAAATTCTCTTCTTAATTAGGGTGGGGGTGGGGTGGGCAGGGAGAAAAGTGCAACAATGAATGAATGGAATTCCAAAATCTCTGTAGATGTTCATTGAAATTAATAAAAAAACTCAACAACAACAACAACAAAAAAATTCTCTTCTTAATTTTAGATAATGGATGAGAATACTATTTCCTCTCTATTTTAAAATTAAAATTCTAGGCCTTGAAATAAATACAAATTATGTGGATAAGATTGGATTTTAATTCAGGGATGAATTCACTCATGAAGGTAAATCTTTTTTTTCCTAATTTTTAATCAGAATTAAGAGTTTGAAACAGGGGTTTAAATGGCTTTACCTTTGATCCAACCAAAGAGTAATTTGATAATTAATCAAGTATGCATATAAATGATAACAGGAAAAAATCTTTTTAAAATAAATACATTTGTAGGATAACTTATGAGAAGTACCAAAAATTGCGTCTCAACTTACCTCTACAATAAAAGCTTTCCTTTCAGATTCACTTTCAATTTGTTTAATAGCAACATCTTTTGCTCTCCATTTAGCTTTACAGACTACTCCAAAAGCTCCTCTCCCAACAACCTAAATGTAAAAGAAAAAAGTCTTAGGAATCAGAAACAAACAGATCAGCACAACCTAAAAAACTGAGGCTAATTTGAAACACTTCAGAAATTATCAATATCTGATTTGTCACTGATAAAGTATAAATTTTCAATAAAGAGAAAAGGTGACAAAACATACATGGTCTATATCCTTAGAACTTGATGGTCTAGACACCTCCTCATTCTCAATCAAAACTATAAATAGCAAAGAAAAAAGGTTCATGGAGACATAAACTAAGTAAACTGCTGAATACAGAAGACAAAATAAAAGATGCTTTAGGAAAAATTAAAAGCAGGAAATATAACATTTTATGCTATCCTATATAAAAAATTAAAAATAGATCCTGAATAATTAAGTAGGCCTAAAGGATAGAAGGAAAAGCATAAACATGCAGATTAAAATTGCTACTAAGGTGAAAGAAAAAATATCCCTGGTGATGCAATGAATAATGTAAGGCCAGCTGTTTGTATCAACTAGATGCTCTGAAGGAGAAAGACAGGTAGTCTTCTCCAGTAAGACTTACAGCCTCTGAAACCAGGTGGAGAATCACTTGATGGCAGTGAGTTATAGGAAGGATAGATAAAATGAGATGTATTTATTTACACAAGAGAGAAACAGCACACACAAAAAGCAAACAATTGATACATATTACAAGAGAGATGAAACTATTTTGCTAATTGAAAGAAATCAGATACAAGAAATCATGGATCTATTATATGATTCCATTTATATGGAATGTACAGAAATCTACGCAGAAAAAAAGTTATCAATGGTTGTATGCAGCTGAAGGTTATACAAATCCCAACAAATCAATATAAAAACCAGTTGTCTGAACTGATTCACAGTGAAGGCTATACAATTTGGTAAATCTGCTAAAAAAAAAATCAGTGAATCATACACTACAAATAGGGGCAATTTATAATATCTAAAATATACCTATGTATTACTTTTAAAGCTACCTGATATGTTATTGGGTGCCATCAAGTCAACTGATTCACACTGACTCTGTATACTAAACATAGGCAGAGAGTTGTCATTTGCCCAAGATCACACAGCCAAGAAGCATTCAGTCCTTTTCTTTTAAAATGGATTAAGGTAAACTGCAAACAAAATACACATTTATGACATTATTAGACCAAAGAGGCAAACTTGGAAACCAGCCTACTTTTTATATTACTAACTAGGAAATAAATATTATGATTAATTGGAATATATTCTTCAACTGTGTACTTACAAATACATCAAAATAAGGGAGATATTAATTTAGGATTTATTACTTCATTTACCTATTTTCAGACACAGTGACTCCCAATTATGTGCAAACATTATCTCTATGAGGATCATACCCTAGAAACACAATTCTTTTAAGTATATAGGTTGATGGTCCACAAGTGCCACCTAGTGATGAAGTGATGGCCGACACTGAAAATTCGAAAGATTATCGGAACAAAATGTGGGCAAAAAAAGATGATAGACTTTCCCCCTTTTGTTTAATGAAGAAATTTTTATGAATATAATGATTACAAACAGGTACACTTATTTAAGATAAGAGCCATGGCCTCATGAAGCCACCACCTATCTTAAGGTATGTGAAATTTTAGCATGCACGTTGAAACAACACAATCTAAAACTGTTAAGATGTCCAAAGCTGTACACCGAAGGCTAGGATGCTCAAAGCAGTAAAAAAGAAAAATGTCTGTGAATCCCAAGGGGAATAAGGTTATGATCATAACAACGGTCAAATAATGGAATTTCTGGATTTTGAAAAGTTAACTCCATTTTCAAATTGTATAAATGTAGACTAGTCCTTGGAGAAGGATGTCATTCTTGGTAGGAGGAACAGCGGAGGAGAGGAAGACTCAGGATAAGATGAATAACTGGAGAAATGGGATTAGGTCTGTCAGAGATGATGAGATTGGCTCCGGGTGTTGTTGTTGTTGTTATGTGCCGTCGAGTCGTCTGCGACTCATAGCGACCCCATGTACAACAGCCCTAAACTCCGCTCTGTCCTGTGCCAATTGCACTGTCTCCGACACTCCCATCCCAATTATCCCAATCACTGAATCAATCCACCTCATAGAGGGCCTTCCTCTCCTGCGCTGTCACTCCACCCTCCCAAGCATGATGTCCCTCTCCAAGGTCCGGTCTCTCCTCACATGTCCAAAGTATGTTAGACGGACCCTCAGAATCCTTGCCTCCAAGGAGCCACCCGGTTTAACCCTTTCCAGGACAAATCTGTTTGTTTTCCTAGCAGTCCATGGTATTCTCAATACTCTTCTCGAGCACCACAGCTCAAAGGCATCAATTCTCCTTCTATCCTCCTTGGTCATTGTCCAACTCTCTGATGCATAACAGGTGATTGTGAAGACTATGGCCTGTATCAGACGCACCTTAGTCTCCAAAAAGACACCATTGCTCTTCAGCACTTTGGAGAGGTCCCTAACAGCAGACTTTCCCATGGCAATGCGCCTTTTAATTTCCTGGCTGCTGGTGCCAAGACTGTTGACTATTGAGCCAAGCAAACTAAAGCTGTGTACAATCTCAATCTCTTCACCATCCATCCTGATGCTGCCAACTGGTCCAGTGGTGAGAATCTTTGTCTTCTTGACATTGAGCCTCAATCCATACTGGAGGCTGCAGTCCTTGACGCTCTGCAGCAGGCGCTTCAGGTCCTCTTCAGTTTCAGCAAGCAGGGTTGTGTCATCTGCATAACGCAGATTGTTGATAAATCGTCCACCAATCTTGACTCCACATTTCTCCTCATAGAGCCCAGCCTCCCGGATAATCTGTTCTGCATATAGGTTGAAAAGGTATGGAGATAGGATGCATCCCTGGCGTATGCCCTTCCCAATTTTGAACCATGCAGTGTTCCCTTGCTCTGTTCCGACGACTGCCTCCTGGTCCAAGTATAAGTTTCGCAAGAGCTATTGCACATAGGGTCACTTATGAGTTGCAGGCAACTTGATGGCACATACCAACGACATAAATGAAGATAGATAAAAATTTAAAAATTACATATAAAGAAATGACTTCTGCTTTCATAAAATGAATAAAGTAGAGAAAAAAATTAACACCAAACAAATATTAATTAAAACATTCACTAGCTGAGAGATTCAAGATGGCGGCGGAGGCAGAGACAACGTGGCGAGCTGCAGAAGCAGCTGACCACTTGGAAAAGGGCTATTACAAACCTCTACAGACTTGTTTATTGATAATTGAACAGTTAATGACTGGTCTTCAGTGAGGATTGAGGCTCAACAACAGGAACTCAAGGATTTCCAAGGAAGAATGCGTGAGTGCCGCAGCTCCCAACCCTCTCCGGCAGAGCCTGCACTGCGCCTCACCGCAGCCGCAGCTCCATGAAGCTCCCACAGCAGGACCCTATGGAATTCCTCGCCCAGGATGGTGGGTGGGCACTGGGCCTCCCCAGGACTGGTGCGGTGAAGCCGCCACACTGCAGCAAAGTGTACTTGTTCCAAATATAATTCTTGGAGCCAAGATGGCGTTGGCAGGGAAAGTGGGCGGACAGTGGCCTCCTGCGTGTGAGATGAAGTGCGACCACCAGTGCCCATGTGGGAGATGGCTTGCGCTCGCTGGCCACCCACATGGAAGATGGCACTCGCCCAACGGCTGCCTGCATGGTGGATGGTGCGCGCCCACCGGCTTCCCGCACACGGGATGGCATGTGCCTGCCAGCCGCCCATGTGGGAGATGGTGTGCGCCTGCTGGCTGCCCCGCTCTGGGAGATGGTGCGCCTTCACTGGCTGCCTGCGCACGAGATTACACGCGCACGCCGAGAGATGATGTGCGCCTACTGGCCGCACAAAGAAATGGCATACACCCACCCCCACCAGCTGCCCCCGAATGAGATGACGCGTACCCACCTACCCACCGAGAGATGATACGCGCCCGCAGGTCAGCCGCGCACCTGCCAGCCGTCCGTGTGGGAGATGATACTTGGGAGATGGCTCGCGCCAGAGCGGTAGAAAATGATGAGCACCTGCCAGTCGCCTGTGTGGGGGATGGCACGTGCCTGATGGCCCACTGGCTGCTTGCGCACGAGATGACGCGCACCCACCAAGAGATGATGTGAGCCCTCGGGTCACTCGCGCGCGAGATGACATGTGCCTGCCAGCTGCCCGCGTTAGGGGATGAGGTGCACTTACCCCCACCGGCTGCCTGCGCATGAGATGATACGCACCCGCTGGCCGCCCACGTGGGAGATGACACGGGAGATGGCAAGCGCCTGCCAGTCACCTGCACTGGGGGATGGTGCATGCCCGCCACCTGCCTGCACAGAAGCGAGGATGCTCACCCCGCCGCCCGTGGAGGGGACGTGTGCCCATCACCTACAGGTTTGGGTTTCCTTGGAAAACCAGAGAAGATGATCACCTATACAATGGATTGTTGAAAGTCACTGTGAGTTGTCTACTTGATGACACTTAACAGCGGCAGCATGTCCAAGAGGACCAACATCCTAAATGCACCACATATTTTGATCTGTTGAATGCTTCTGCCAAAAGATGTTTAGACCTGGGGGGAGCCTGTTCACAATTTTCAGGTTCCCTTTGCCATTTATAAAGGGGGAGGGAAGTCACACCTACTTCAAATTATAATATGACCATTTATGGGGGGGTGTAAAAGTGGTGGTGCTGGAATTGGAGATGCTGTCCCTGGCCACACACTCCTCGGCCAGGTGAGGGGACCAGATTAGTGTGGGGGCAATTAGAGGGGAGTGTTAGTGTGGGGGCAATTAGAGCGGAGTGTACCAGCCAGCCCATGGTGGGGGTGCTGCCCTGCTCGGGACAGGTTGTCCTCGGCCCTCAACTCGGGTCGAGCCGTTATGGCCCTCTGTTTGGGGCAGGCTGTCCTCAGCCCTCAGCTCGGGGCGAGCCGTCACGGCCCTCAGGGTGAGCTCCTCAGTCCCCAGATTGTGCCATCTGACCCCTGGGTAGGAAAAAAAATGCCTAGTGTATCCA